GTTGGAAAGGAATTGAGAGTTAACAAGGAGTGTACGGGTGTCAGGCGAATGCGAATGAGAAGTGCCAGGAGCGCGCCAGGGCCAGGCAGAAACGTTGAGAAACGTTTGAAACGTTGAGTTGAAACTCTAGAGTTCGAGAAGATGTGGAATTCTAGGCGAATTCGGATTAGGGCACGCGCCGGGGCCAGGGAGGAAAGGGGAGTTGGAGAGGAATCTAGATCGGAAGTCCTAGAGTTAGCAAGGATTCTGGCCATTCGGGGCATGAGAGGAAAACGAAGTTGGAGACGATGTTGGATCGGAATTCCCAGAAGAAGAAAGGAGTCTGGCCATCCAAGGCAAGGGAGGAAAATGGAGATAGGGAGGAATTCAGATCGGATATCCCAGAGTTAGAAAGGATTCTGGCAGTCCGAGGCCAAGGAGAAGAGAAAAGAGGAGTCAGAGAGGAAATTAGATCGGAATTCCTCGAAATAGAAAGGATTCTGGCCATCCGGGGCCAGAGAGGAAAATGGAAGTAGAGAGAAATGTTGGTCGGAAGCCCTAGAGTTAGAAAGGATTCAGGCCAGGGATAAAAATGCAGTTAGATGAATTTCGATCAGAAATTCTACAGTTTGGAAGAGTTCTGGCCATCTGGGGCCAGGGAGGAAAATGAAAATAGAGATGAAGTTGTATCGAAATTCCGAGAATTAGAAAGGATTCTGGCCATCCGGCGCCAGGGAGGAAAATGGAGTTAGAGAAGAATTTAGATCGGAAATCCTAGAGTTAGAGAGGAGTCTGGCCATGTGGAGCCAGGGAGGAAATTTGAATTAGCGAGGAAGTGATGTCGGAATTCCGATAGTTAGAGAGGAGTTCGGCCGTTCGGGGCTAGGGAAGAAAATGGAGGTGGAGAGGAATTTAGATAGGAAATCCGAGAGTTAGAGAGGAGTCTAGCCATCCGTGGCCAGGGAGGAAAATGAAGCTGAGGAGGAATTGAGATCGGAAATCCTAGAGTTAGAGAGGAGTCTGGCCATCCAGGGCCAGGGAGGAAAATGAAATTAGAAATGAGTGTTTGATCGGAATTCCTAAAATTAGAAAGCATTCTAGCCATACATGGCCAAGGAGGAAAATGGAGTTAGAGAGGAATTGAGAACGGAAATCCTAGAGTTAGAGAGGAATCCGGCCATCCGGAGCCAGGGAGGAAAATGGAGTCAGAGAGGAATTTAGATAGGAAGTCAGAGAGTCAGTGAGGAGTCTGGCCATCCGGGGCCAGGGAGGAAAATGAAGGTAGAGAGGAATTTAGATAGGAAATCCTAGAGTTAGAAGGATTCTGGCCATCCGGGGCCAGGGAAGAAAATGGAGGTAGAGAAGAATATTGATCGGAAGTCCTAAAGTGAGAAAGGATTCTGGCCATCTGGGGCCAGGGAGGAACATGAATTCAGAAAGGAAGTTAGATCGAAAATCCTAGCGTTAAAGAGGAGTCTGGCCATCTGGGGCCAGGGAGGAGAATGGAGTCAGAGAGGAATCTATATCGGAAATCCAAGAACTAGAGAGGAGTCTGGCCATGTGGGGCCAAAGAGGAAAATGGAGTCAGAGATGAATTTAGATCGGAAATCTGATTGAACTAGCAAGGATTCTGGCCATCCATGGCCAGGGAGGAAACTGGAGATAGAGAGGACTTCGAGAAGGAGTAGAATAGAGTTCGAGAGGACTAGGGGTTAACAGAGGATTCAGGCCATCCGGAACCAGGGGAGAAGATGGAGGTATAGAGGAATTTAGATAGGACGGCCTGAGGGATGAGAGAGGATTCTGGCCATCCTGGGCCAGTAAGGACAATGGAGTTAGAGAAGAATTTTGATCGGAACTCCTAGAATTACAAAAAGGATTCTGGCCATGCGGGGCCAGGGAAGAAAATGGAAGTCGACAGGAATTTAGATCGAAATCACTAGAGTTAAGAGTTTGGCCAATTTAGATCGAACATCCTAGAGCTAGAAAGGATTCCGGCCATCCGGGGCCAGGGAGGAGAATGGAGACAGCGAGGAATTGAGATCGGAATTCCTAGAATTAGAAAGGATTCTGGCCATCCGGGGCCAGGGAGGAAAATGGAGATAGAGGAATTTACATCGGAAACAATAGAGTTAGACCGCATTTGGGCCATTCGGGGCCAGGGAGGAAAATGGAGCTAGAGAGGAATTTAAATTGGAAAATCGGTAAGAGTTAGAAAGGATTCTGACCATGCGGGACAAGGAAGTAAAATGAGCATAGAGAAACATTCAAATATAGGTAATCCCAGAGTTGGATAGGATTCTGGTCATTCCGGGCCAGGTCATCCTCTGACTTTCTTGGGGATTTTCGATCTACATTTCTCTCTAACTCCATTGTCCTTCTTGGCCACGATTGGCCAGAATCCTGCCTAATTCTGTGATTTCCGATCTCAAATCCTTTCTAACGCCACTTTCCTGGCCCGAATGGCCAGAATCCTCTCTAACTCTGGGATTTCCGATCTCAAAATCTCTCTGGCAACATGTTCCTTCCTTGTCCTGGATGGCCAGAATCCTTTGTGAATCTGGGACGTCCTATCTAATTCCTCTCTAACTCAATTTTCCTTCCTGTCCCCGAATGATCAGAATCCTTTCTAACCCTAGGATTTCCGATTGAACGTCCTCTCTGAATCCATGTTCCTTCCTGGCTGCGGATGGCCAGAATCCTTCCTAACTCTAGGATTTCCTATCTAAATTCCTCCTCAGCTCCATTTTCCTCCCTGGCCACGGATGGCCAGAATCCTTTCTTCTAGGGATTCCGATCTAAATTCATCTCTAACTTCATTTTCCTCCCTGGCCCCAGATGGCCGGAATCCTTTCTAACTCTAGGATTTCCTATCCAGATTCCTCTCTGCCTCCATTTTCCTCCCTGGCCCCGGATGGCCAGTCTCCTCTCTAACTCTCTGATTTCCTATCTAAATTCCTCTCTACCTCCATTTTCCTCCCTGGCCACGAATGGCCAGAATCCTCTCTAACTCTAGGATACCTTATCAAACATTCCTCTCTGAATACATGTTCCTTCCTGGCCCTGGATGGCCAGAATCCTCTAATTCTAGGATGTCCTGTCTAAATTGCTCTCTAACTCCATTTTCCTTCCTCGCCCCGAATTGCCAGAATCCTCTCTAACTCTAGAATGTCCGGTCTAAATTCCTTGTTACCCCCATTTGCCTTCCTGGTCCCGAATGGCCAGAATCCTCTCAAAATCTAGGATGTCTGATCGAAGATCCTCGCTAACTCCATTTTCTGACTGGACCCCGAATGGACAAAACCCTGTCTAACTCCTTAGGAGTTCTTCTAAAAATCTAACTATAAGAATTCAAAGCCACATGTCTCACCAACGATTGATTTCCTTGCCATGTATAAGCTCTACTTTCTACCGCATGGATCGCAAGACTGGGTTCATAAATGCAGAAATCATTGTTAACATCCTAGATAGATTGTGTTTAACTGCGTGTGTGCGGCACTCCGTGTTGGATGTTCCCCTCTTCTGCCTCCCCTTCCCCCCTCCTCCCTCTCGCCTTCTCTCGGGGGCGCGCAAACATGGATCGGGGGAGGTGCCCTCCCCAAAAGGCGGCCGGTGCCGCCTCGCTCGGCGGCGGGAATGCGCGATTCCCCGTCGCTAATCCACGCCCCTTAATCCATGTTTGCGATCACCTGACTCTTCTGCCTCCCCTTCCTCCCCCTCCTCCCTCTCGCCTTCGCACTCACTCATCCTCCTCCGTCTCTTCTCTCCCTGCAGCGTGGTTGCCCCCGCGGAGTGTGAAGGCACGGGCGACAACGGGCGCCCCGAGAGGGGGGAGAGAGGGGGAAGCTTCCGCGCTGGAGGCACCAGCACTCCAGGCAGGACCTGACGCCCCCACTCTGGACCCATCTGGGCCCTGGAGGGCTTCTCCGAAAGGCTTAGGCGACCCGTCCTCCTGCCTTCCTGCGTTTCTCGCTCGGAGCAGCGTCTCACAGGCGCCCGGAGCACGGAGCGCACCACAGCAGCCCACGAGGGCCGTGCGGGCACTCAGACAACGGCCCTGGGAACCCGACCTCGAGGAAGAGAAGGGGGGCCAGGGACCACTCCTCCTCCTCCTCCTCCTCCTCCTCCTCCTCCTCCTCCTCCTCCTCCTCCTCTTCCTCCTCCTCCTCCTTCCTCCTCCTCCTCCTCCTCCTCCCTCCTCATCCTCCTCATCCTCCTCTGTCTGCCCTGCACACCGGGTGAGAAAAGCCGCCTGGTGGAGGCGGGCGGCCCCCGCGGCCTCCGCGGAGGCCCTGCGGGACGCACACGCGTGCGCGCGCGCGCAAGCACACGCGCACGCACGGCCGGTGCCGTGCTGCGGGCAGGGCCGGCCCTGGCCGTCGAGCAGCTGATACGCTGGCCTGGCGGGCTGGCAGCACGTCATCAGCATCAGCAGCAGCAGCAGCAGCATCAGCAGCAGCAGCATCAGCATCATCAGCATCATCGGCAGCAGCACCATCATCGTCATCATCACCATCACCATCACCATCAGCATCAGCATCAGCATCCTCAGCAGCATCAGCATCAGCATCAGCATCAGCATCAGCATCAGCATCAGCATCAGCATCAGCATCAGCATCATCATCATCATCATCATCATCATCATCATCATCATCATCATCATCATCATCATCGTCGTCATCATCATCATCATCATCATCACCAACAACAACCTGCAGCGAAACTCTCACCAGCACAGGCAAGGAAACGGCAAGCTCATTATGCGACCGCTCACGCACTACAAACAACAACTCTGTTGACTCACAGTGCGCGATCTGGCGGGGAACTGCTTCTCTCTCTCTCTCTCTCTTTATCTCTCTATGTATCTTCCTCTCTCTCTATGTATCTCTCTCTCTCTGCCCCATTTTAAGCCTTTAGCTTGCTCGATCGACCTAGCTAAGTCTGGCGACCAGTCACGTAGGGCCACTCCACGTATGGGTGCGGCCGAGAACAAGCGTCCTCACTGCACGGCCATGCCACCTTCACTTGAGAGCTGGAGTCTTGTTGGAGCTCGCACCGCTGTTGTTGTTGGTGTTGAAGTCACCCGTTCTGCCCTGATGAGGCCAAGAGGAAGATGACAGAAAAAGAGAGGCAGAGAGAGAGGGCAAAAAACGGCAAAGGGAGGCAACTAGAACTGCAATGGAAAGCTCATGGGGGAAAGGATACATAGAGAAGGGAATACGCTTCCCAAAATTGCGTTTCAGCGGCAAGGTTGACATCGTGTACGACATCATCAAACGAGACTGAAGGATAATCAATGGCGCAGGCTGCTGGCGGACAAGTGGAATACCCAGCTTCCTTGCCGAGTGGTGACAGCATGCGCATGTTTGTTTGCGGTTGCCACGCAAAGCAGAACGCAACCGTACGCGCGCCCTCAGCCAGATGCAATCGTAATCGGTTGTCATTGTCCGAGAGGGGCATCGCACCGCGCGGGCCAATACTGTCCTAAAACGGACCAACAACATGTGCCTAGGATGGACCTAGGAAGCAAGGATGCAACGGTCCTTCCCGAATCACCTCGTTTGTGTTTTGGCGGCGCGCTCAAGCGGGTGGGGCGAGGAGGGACATTGCGAGAAGCCTCCTCGGGCCCCCGATCCTAGGAAGCCTCATCCTCCAAACAGCGTTTGCACCAGAGGAACCTGACGTCGGTCACTCAGGAATTGGATAGTTCCACCGAGGGTTCGCCATGTTGACGCCCGCTGCCACCTCGTCGCCGCCCACCGCGCCTGGGGGGGAGGGGTCGCGGGGGGCGTTGAAGGCTCGCCACGTCGCCGCCTCTATGCCGTCCACCGCGCGAGGGGGGTGTCCGCCGAGGTTTCGACACGTTGCCGCCCGATGCTGCCCCGTTGCCGCCCACCGCGGTGGGTGGGTGTCCCGAGGATTCGCCACCTTGCCGCACATTGCCACCACGTTGTCGCTTCGACCACCTAGCTTGAACCATTTAAATTGCACGGCATAGCTTACATCACATGGCTTGCACCATATATACTACACTGTCAGCTCGCGTCACCTAGCTTACACGACATAGCTTACACCACACCGCTTGCAGCAGATAGCGCTTACCTCGCCAGCTCACACTGGAATACCTAGCAGCCACCACATCACTTATATCGCACAGTTTACACCTCCAGTGCAATAGCGCACCGTGTGGGGTTCACGCCGGCAAACTCGTCAGTCCGCGGGCGCCGACTGATCCAAGACAGTCAGGCGGCGGTCAGCAAGCGACAAGCGGTGGGGTGCACCGGAAGCGAAGCGAGGCACGAAGGCGAAAAGGAACAGGGCGCGAGGAGGGAAGAGGGAAGAGCCCGCTCTGACCATGAAGACCAGCACGGGGACGCCGCACGCTGGCAAACATTCTCCCTCAGGGAGAAAGATCAGCATACACAAAATTTGCGGAGGGCGCGTGGATTTCTTGGAACGGCACTCGACCCCTACTCCGACGCCGTCCCCCTGAATCTGGACGGGGCGCCCCGCGGGTCGATGGAGCTTCCAGGATAACCAGAGATGTCGCCAAGAGGACCCAGATGGCCCAAGATGGTTTCCAAGAGGGCTCAGGATAGCCAGAGATCGCTCATGATGGCTTCCAACATGCTCCAAGAGGTTCAAGACCGCTCCAAGACGGTTCCAAGTGGCACTGGGTGTTCCCCAGGACGCCCCCAAGAGGCCAACATCCATCCAAAACCTAAGGAACATATAAGCGATCGTGGCCTTCGCGCCCCTTTTCTGATGGCCTTCGGAGGCATTGAGATGGCTCAAAGAAGGCACCAGAGATCCCAGAGGGGCCCAAGATGGCTTCAAGGTGGCCCTGAAAGTGTCCCAAGCGCCCCAAGAGAGACCCCAGAGGCGACAGCAGGGACTCTAGAGACACCAGAGGGGCAGCACAAGTTGAGGACCGCCATCGTTGATCGATGGCCTCAAGGAGGCTTCAAGAAGGAATCCAAGGCTGCCAAGAAGGCTCCAAGACGGCACCAAGAGCCCCCTAGGAGGCCAAAAAAAAGCCCCAAAGGGGCCCCCAAGACGCCTCGAGAGGTCCCTACGAGCCCCCAGGAGGCCCCCTAGAGGCCACCAACAACCCCCCAGGAGACACCCCGAGCGACTCCGAGGGTCCACGAGGTCTCGGGTTCACTGAATCCCCCCAGGGTATTCACATGATGCCAGGATCCCCCGATAAGGGCAGCTCCCCCACACATCGTTCCTGGATGGGCTCGTGGGGGTACTTTTTGTTCGCGAGCGACACGGAGCAACCGCGCGCCGTCAAAAAGCGAAGCGACTACGCCACGTCCTATAAATGAAGCCCTAAGCGACAGGAGCGTGCTACGCTGTCACTCAGGCGGCGAAAACGACGCAGAAGGCCGGGAAGTTTGCGCCAAGCCGAAGAGGTCCAGGAGGAGGGCCTCGTTGCACACCAAAGTGGTGAGTGAATTGGAACGTGACCGAGTCCAGATAGTAGACCCAAGGTCAGGACGTCGTGCATGTGAACGTCGACCACGAAGGGTGGAAACAGCGGGCGAACGCCGCAACGGGGGTCGACAGCCAGGCTGGCGAACCGTCGTGGGCGGCAGAGCGCGGCGCTGCAAGCCGTCTTTCACGTGTGGGGTGGGCGCCAGACGTAGACCGCAGGACCCATTGTTCTGGGAGGCGTCCACCAGCCAAACCGCGCCCCGTCGGCGAGGGTCTCGTGGGCATACTTTTTTCCTCGCGGACGCAAGCGAAAGCACAGGCGCCGTGGTGAAAGGTCCGGGCCGCGGGCCGATCCAATTACCGCGCGGGCGAGACGGCCTAAGCGGGCGGCTCGTGGGGATACGCGAAGCGTTAATAACTTTCTGCGTCGACTCTTTGAAAGCAGGCCCCCATACGACGCCCCCCGACGGCACCGAAGATTTGCAGGGCGCACAAACTACACACCTGAAGCGAACCTGGACATGCAAGGGTCGGTGTCGGTTGGTAGAGTTGGCGCCCTCCGAGGATGATTCTGGCCACCAGCACCACGCTTAGGTCGGGCCTGTCCCCCTACAGGGGATTTTGGACGAAAAATGAAACATACTCAGAAAGTACAAAAAAATGTCCCCTGACTATTTTTGACTATTTTCGAATATGCCCCCTTCAGAGGGACAGACCCAACGTAACGCCACGCGCCCCCCTCCAGCGAGGCCGCGCGGAAGCCGGACAGCCCACCGCAAGAACAGATGCGCTTCATCACTGGACATGCGCGTTCCACTACTCGCAAAGTAACTAGTCGCAAATGGCCTGGATCCACCGCGGGAGATTTACGATACATAACACAGAGGACGACATGTTTTTTCGGACGTTTGCGAGTAGGCACTTGGCGAGTAGTGGAACGCGCTCGGTGAATCACGCCGCTCCAGGATACCTCACCAGTGCCGCGCGCTCCTCCGCCAGAGGCGAAAACGCGGGAAACAGGGCCCGCGATCGTCCTCGTCTCCAGCGCGCGCTCGGCAAGAGTGTGCGGATCACGAACTGCCAGTGCAGGCCTGGGCTGGGTTAGGGGGCCAAGGGCGAACCCTACCCCTACCCCCCACGATTTCTGAGGGGGAAGGTGGGGTTCGCCTGTGGCCCCCTATGGGTCACGTCGTGAATCCGGATCGGATCAGATCGGAAACGGATCGGATAGCGAACGGTCCCGAATCGGATCGGAATCGGATCACCGCGCCTGGCTCTGGCTGGCCCCGGCCGCGGCCGATGCCAGGGAACCGAACCGGTGCAATCGAGGAATCGTGGAACTGGCCAGCAAATCGAATCGCATCGGATTGGATCGTAGGCGGCCCTGCAAAGGCGTGGTGCGCTCAACATGAATTGACCACCTTGGGTGGGAGCGCGGACAGAGCTGGACGTCTCGTCTGAGACCATCGCGACCCCGTCACGGCAAACAGCGCTACTTACCCAGCCGACCTCGGCAGACGTGAGGGCATCTAGCAATGCGCAATTGCATTGAAGTTGCTGGCTCACACGCGCGTCTCGCTGACTCCTTCCGCCCAAAGGGCGGTGCAACGCGCGAGTGGAAGCTGGCAAACAGAAGCCGGAGAGAATGCTCAAGGCATCCGAGAGCTCCCTACTTTGCCTCTGCTCGCGCACCGTCTGGTGCAAGGCTTGACCTGACCTGACCTGACCTGACCTTACCCGGGGTGCCCTTCTCACTTCGGGACCTGACCTTACCCGGGGTGCCCTTCTCACTTCGGGACCTGACCTTACCCGGGGTGCCCTTCTCACTTCGGGAGTCTCGGACAGCGCCAGCCCTACCCTGCCCCGCCGGGGAGGCACCGCGCGGGAGCCGCCCGCGCCATCGCCAAAAGTGCTGCTCCCCTGGAATCGGGGGGAGAACTTGTGAGGAGGAGGAGGAGGAGGAGGAGGAGGAGGAGGAAGAGCAGCGAGGGCAACGGGGGAGAGGAGCGAGACGGACATGCAGAAGAAAGGATGGGGACAGAGGCAGGAGGAGAAAGGAGGAAGCAAGCGGCGCAAGGAGGAGGCGGAGGAGTGCGAAGGACCCCCCGCGGGCGGCCCAGGCAGGCCCCCACTGGGCCAGACGAGTACGGAGAAGCCGAGAGCGCCAAGGGGACCTCCGAGGAGCCGCAGCTCGAGAAAAGCGAGGAGGCATCCGCGCCTCTATGTCGCCGCCGCCCTCGCCGCTCTCCGAGATCCTACGTCGCGACCAAAAGCACACAGCACATGTGCGCGGTGAGAGATCGCAGCCGAAGCCCTCGTCCCCAGCTTTCTGCGGCACTTCTCCGGCCGCATCGACCCGTGGGGGTCCTGGGCGAAAACGCCCCGCGTGCAAAACTGCGACGGCCGGGTCTGAGGGTCGCCGTCGCCGCCGCCAGCGTCGTCGTCGTCATCGTCGGGCGCGCCTCCACCAGACCTTTGGTGGTGTACAGGCTCGCCTTCAGGGTCAGCCTCGCGCTCGCGGACGGCACGGGAGGCGCGGGAATATCACGAGACCTCCACCGACTCCCGGATCCCAGGTGGTCGAGGATCCAAACTTGGGGAACGCTCTTCGCAAGATTCTGGGCCTCCAGAGGCACCTGGGGACCTCCTCTGGGAGGCCTGAGTCGGCGGGACGAGAGAGTGAGGGAGCGAGAGGCAGCAGTGGCAGCCCAGCTCCAGCGGTGCAACGGAGGCTGGCGAGAAAGGAGGCTACGGATGCTAGGCAGAGGAGGCTGGCGGCAGGCTGGAAGCCTAGTGGCGGTCAGCGCCGCGTTGGGGAAGGTGGTGACCACCGAGCCGATGTCCCTGGCCCGACGAAGAAAGAAAGATGAACGGATACACTCGGAACTTAATAGTGGGTCGACCCTGCGGAATCAGGGGTACTCGTATGTCATGTCTATGACGTCTCATGTACTCTTCAGATCTGGAGCACACGACTCTCGCATGTCCTCTGCAATCGGTCCTAACATTATGACAGTGCGGTGCAAGGCACCCAAAAAAATTGCTGCACACGCTCTCGGAAACGATCTCCTCACGAAGGTGGCGGGCCAGGGTTGCCCAGACAGCGAAAGGAGCAGCATCCCCGTGTGTTCTTCATGTTGCACGAAAGGCTTCCCCAAACAAGCCATCCAGGATCTGAATATCGGCTGACTTCCGCGATTGCGACCTACCCGTCTTGTCTCCCTGGACTGGGCGCGTTCTACACATGTTACTCGTGGTGCGCTGAGCGTGTTGAACAAACTCACCGTGCCGTACTCGCACAGCTCTCACGACTGCAAACACGTAACATTGCACGCGTTCATCGCAGCAGGTCGCGTGAGCCTGTCTGCATGCAAAGCCAATAACCTAGCGCAGAACAAAGCACACCCACGTGCTAGCCTCTTGGTGCAAGCGGCCGCACACTACGATACATAGCGGCGCTATGTATTGTAGTATTGTTTCGTGCTATGATGGTACGTTTCGGTGCCATGATAGCGCTAGACACCGAAACGTGCTGTGATAGCACGTTTCGGTGCCAAGCTGGGCCAAACAATCTACCATCGCCGAGCCTGGGCGCCGCGCAGCGGGGAGTATCAGCAAAAATGGCCTACTTGACTGGGCGCGGGACAAGTCTGGCCGCTGGAGACAAACTCCAGCCCACGCCTGCAACGCTTTGGCTGCTGGCCCATCCCTAATCCAACCATCCCCACCTGAGCTCGTGCCAGTCGGACTCACCACACGGCGTTCCAAAATGGAGCACACGGGACCCTGGTGACTAGGTGACCTGACTCCGGACTTCGCGCCGCCCAGCGCGCCAGCAGCTTCGCGCTCTTGCGCGGCCACCCCTGCGAGAGGGCGGTTCTTCGGCCTGGACTGCGACACGCAACCACAACTGTCTGGGGTGCGGGGTGCGTTCTGGTACGTCCGGGTTTTCCGTGCCTGCTCCTCCTTGTCCAGGTTTTCCGTGGCTCCTCCTCCTCCTCCTCCTTCTCCTCGCTCCTCGCTCCTCGCTCCTCGTTCCTCGCTCTTCCTCGCTCCTCGCTCCTCGCTCCTTCTCCTCCTCCTCCTCCTCCTCCTCCTTTTTCCTTTTCCTCCTCCTCCTCCTCCTCCTCCTCCTCCTCGTTTGTTCGAGGATGTCTGGTCGAACTGACCACGCGGCTCTCCAAATGAAGCGCGCTTGCCATCAAGGCCCTCGCCAGGCGTCCTTCTTCTGGCCGCCCGCGGTCCCCCCACATCCCTGGTCCCCCAGCGGTCGCCTGAGGCCTCCAGTGGCCTCCCAGAGGTCAAAAGGGGCCCAGAAAGGGCCACGGGTCAGGATCTCCCAGAAACCTCGGCCATCGATCCCCGAGGATCGATCGACGATGACGACGACGACGACGGCGACGGCGTCGTGCGGAGAGTGAGGGTGCAGGAATGGAGGGAGGGAGGAAGGAGGGAGGGAGGGAGGGATGGAGGAAGAGGAGGAGGAGGGGAGCAGGAGGAGCCGGAGCACATTTAATCATGGAACTCTCCAAGATACCACCAACGTGTTTAAGCCAGCTCTCTACCATACTACAGTGGCCATTTTGGCCAACGGCAGGGAAGCCGCCAGGCATCCACTCTGGTCTGCCGAATAATTGAACTCTGCTTCTCCTTCGTTTTCAGCCCCTTGACTTCTGATCCAAGCCCAGCCGGTTTAAGCGCGTGCCAAATTCTAGCCAAATGCTCTACTTGCATCCTCAGTGGCCTCAGCACGGCTATGACTCAAGGACGGGAGTGCGGGGTGGGAGTGGGGGTAGGGGAGGAGGGAATGTCTGCCGAGCAGACCACGAAGGCCAGCCACACCTAGGCCAGCCAGATTGCACTATGCCAGCCTGAACCAACCATACTATGACCTTAGGTCGGGCATGTCCTCCTACAGGCGGATTTTGAAGGGAAAATCCAAAAACGTAATCAACAAATACTCGATAGAAAAGTCAAGAATAGTTAGCAAAAAAGGTCCCCTGACTACTTTTTGACTATTTCTGAATTTTCGTCCTTTAGAGGGACATGCCTCACTTAATTATAACCATTCAGTGCTTTCACCCAGTATTCACCCTCCGTACTTGGTGGGGTCTGGCTCCAGAACTCTGCTTAGCGCGGCTGTTTGTAACAGTGCGTCCTATGGGGGAGACTCCACCTGCTCGAAACAGGCGCCCAAAACAGCCAAGATCTACTCCATGGGAGGGGGGGAGGTGGGGTGCGCGGGCCCGCGCCGATCGGCAGAACAGGATAAAAAACGACCACGTTGTGGCAGCTTGCTTTGCTTCCCCGAGCAGCGCTCTTGCCCTCAGGACCACTCCTTCTCGTCTAAGGTAGTCGTGCTCCGGTGCCGCTCTGGCCCGCTTGTGGCCGCCCGTCGCTGCCCGTCGCCGCCGTCGCCGCTAGGCCTAGGTCGGGCATGTCCTCCTGCAGGGAGATGTTGGACGACAAACAAAATAGCCAAAAAAGATCAAGGACATAAAAAAACGTGGAAAATCGTTCCCAGACTTTTGGGAATACTTCTCGTGTAGAGGGACGTGCCCGACTTAACGCTAGGCCCCAATGGCGGTCCAGCCAGATCGTCGCCGCCCCGCCAGTCGCCGCGTTGCAATCGCATCGGTTTGCACTGCGCTGCACTGCGTTGCGCTGCTGTGCATTGCTTCGCATTGCTTTGCCCTGCGCTTCGTCGCTTTGCATTGCTTTTCATTATTTTGCGCTACATACAGTTCAGTAGATGGATTGCATCACTTAGGTTGCACCCCATGGATTGCCCCACCTCCTCAAGTGCACAGCATATATTGCAAGAAATCACTGTCTAGTGTCAACGATGGCTAACATCTCGTGACCGTCATCACCTCCATCAGCCCACTCACACACCTAGGCGCGTATACTTCGTGTCCGCTGGGGCTGCTCTACTTCCCTCCGCCTTGTTGCCTCTCCATTTCACCGCTGCGCGCTCGGGTCCTTGCCACAATGTGCAACCACCTCGCATAAGTTGATGCATGCGGCATTTGACCTCACAAACGCTGCAAGCCCCGCGCTTACAAGCAGGATCATTGACCATAAGGAGGAGGAGGAAAAGAAGGAAATAGGAGGAGCGAGGGCGAAAAAAGGAGGAAAAGAAGAGGAGGAAAAGGAGGAAAAGGAGGAGGAAAAGGAGGGCGAAAAGGAGGAAAAGGAGAAAAAAGGAGGAGGAGGAAAAGGAAGGAAAAAGGAGGAGAGAGGGCGGAAGAAGAAGGAGCGCGCGCGCCGAGGCGGGAACGACGGAGAAACATGGTCAGGACAGGGGAGAAGGAGGGAGCAGGATAGAGGGGGGGGGAACTTGCCGTCGCTCGGACGTCCATTCCCCGTGCATTTTTCGGTCGGTTTCGTGTTTTTTTTTGTTGTTGCTCGATGGTCCAGGATGGTCCTTGATGGTTCTTGCCGAGAAAAAATGCACACGTCCGAGCGATGCCAGGGAAAGCAGAAGGGTGAAAAAAGGCGGGGAGGGTGGGGAGGGCGAGGCGGAGAAGAAAGGACTATAGAGGAGAGGGGAGGGGGAGGAGGAGGAGGAGGAGGAGGAGGAGGAGGAGGAGGAGGAGGAGAAAGGAATGGGGAGAAGGAGAAGGGAAGGGAGCAAGCGAAGAGCGCTCGCGCCATATCTGACAACCGATCCCTCCCTCCCATCCCATTGCACTGAGACGTCCTCTACCCGCGGACGCGTGTCCTAGCCGACGCGCGGACGGCCCCAGGGACATCAGAGCCAGCACGGGAAGGTGGCCGAACGTTTTCGGCCGGATACGCACCAGAAGAACCCCGGCAACACTAGACGCGTCAGTATTTGGCGCGTCGGCCCAGGGACCATCCTCTCCAAGAGGCCCCTGCCCTAGGGCGCCGAAGAGGCCCGCCGGGCCCTCCACGACGGGCCCCGGTTGATTATCTGGCGCGGGCCTTTCGGGGGCGCCGAAAACACCCAGAGGGGGGATTTGCGGGCTGGCTGAAATTCGCCAGCTGGCCGGGCGCGGGCCCCTTGGCGCCGGAGTTTCGCCCGCCGCGAGGTCGGCGCTGCGAGGTCGGCCGAGGGGCCTGAGAGAGAGCGCGGGGGACGCGCGGGGAGCGAGCGATGAGCCGCTTCCCCCATTTGCGATGGCCACAAACGCAGGCTACAACGCGTGGCCCGCGGGGCCTCAGCAATGGCGTCGATCGAGTCTACATCGGGACATGCTGAGCGACTAAACAGAGCACCAAGTCGACGCGCGGCTGGCCAGCGCCAGCGACACACGCGCACTCGACAGCGGCTGCGCTTAAAAGGCCACGCACCTGCTCGACGAAACCGCCCCGCGCAAGTTCGACCGGAGATAGGTTTGAACCCCCAGGGTCCACGGCAACTGCAGAAGTGACGCGCACGCTGCTAGACGCACCAACCATCGCGCGCCATCGCCAGCCAAGCCTCGAAGGGCCACGCCGCAGAAGGCAACGAGACCGACCGAACACCCCAGCACATGAAGCCTCTCCCCCACGCGCACAGAGTCACCCGAAACCTGACGGGGGAGAAGCGCGAACAGTCTGCACGCGCCCACGAGCAAGAAGAAGCCCACCTCCCTCGATAGCCCGCTCACGAAAAAAATGTTAGGTCTGGCCGGATCCAAAGACGCTCTGCAACGTGCCTGGCGACGCTTGCTGGCCGACAGCTCGACCTCGGACGCCGGGAGGCGGGCATCCGCCACGGCAGCGCGGCAGAAGCTATCGCGCCGAGAACGGGGCGAAAAAGTCCTGAGCGAGAGGCCCCTCCCAAAACGAATAATTGCACGCAAACTCTCTCGATGCCTCGCCCGGGCACAGGGTCGACGCAGGGTCGAAGTTTCAACGGAGACAAAACCCGAAGTCACCAAGGGAGCCGACGACGTCGTGGTCCCCGCCAGTTGCGACCTGCTGCTGCGAGGCGACCGTCAGCCCTGCAGGCGCGGGCCGTCCGCCCCGGTCCCGCAATGGCGTCGCCGCCGCCGCCTCGCGCGCGGCACACTCCTGCGCGGCGCTCGCTGCGAAGTCGGCCTCCGACCGCCCGGCCGCCTCCCTCTCGATGTCGGCCTGCGTCGGCGCAGCACCTTCGACCGACGACTCGGCGCCCTGGCTCTTGCCCTCCGCTGCTCGCCGAAGCCGCCGCCGGCAACGAAACCTCTCCTGCTGGATCACGCGCAGCAGGTGCCCCTTGCACAGCCTGGCGCTTCTTCGCCTGCCGTTTGGCGTGGCCTTCTGCATCTGCAATGTCTTGAGCTGCCACTCCTCTACCTGACTGCCCTGGGACACGAGCTGATTCCGAGCCGACTTCAATTCCTGTTCCACCTCAAACATGTCATGCGTATCTCTTTCTCTCGCTCTCTCTTTTCTCGTTATCTCTCTCTCTCTCTCTCGCCTTCTTTCTCTCTCTCTCTTGTTTTTTCTCTCTCTCTCTCTCGGTCTGTCTATAAATATATATATATATATATATATACAGCTTCACACTCGTACTCGTCGATGTGATTGAAGAACGTTTCGCCCCAAGTGAACTCCCAAGAGTTTGAAGGTGCATCAGCCGCGTCGCCAGCGTCTGCCAGCCCTACACGAAAGATGCCCTTGGCCACCAAGCGTTTGGCAGCTTCCGCAGCCGCAAGCTCCTTGGCCAGCGCGGCCTCCTTCGCCCCGGCCTTCGCCAAATACTGCTTGCACCGAATGGCCTGACCAATTGCTTGGCCGTGCCTCAAGTTGATGTCCCTGAATGCTGAGCCAGATTTCTTCACGGCCTCCTCGGCCGCAATCTGCAGTGGCGCGGATGCCTGCGCGCTCACCTCCGAAAGCTGCTCCGAAAATTCTTTCGTGAGCTCCATGTTCGCTTCTCTGGCGGCCACTCCCGTGAGCGCGTTTCTGACCTGATCCGTAGCCGCCGATGGTGCCATACCGGGAGCGATCCCCTTGTTGCCTTTGCCCATCTTCGAGACGTTGCCAGCTGGTGGCGGCTGCTCAACGAGTGCTACTTGAGGGTTAGAGCAGCGCCCTGTCCGTTGCCACTCTTGACCTTCGGCTTGTACAAACGTACGAGTCGAGAGCACAGAGTACAGCGAAGCCCTTGCCCCTCAAACTGTCAGTGTGCTCACATGTGGTGCATCCATTGCGTGTTGTCCATGGCCGAGGAGATAAGAATCCCCACTTGGCCGCCCAGAACCACTGGCGACGAGGCCCGGAGGATGGGCGCCCTTCAAGCGCCACATGGAGGCGTGGGGGCCTGGATTCAGGGCGAACAGGTCCGCAAAAGAAGGCTGCGCCCCGTCCCATGCTGCCTAGATGCTTGACAGGAGGAGGAGGAGGAGGAGGAGGAGGAGGAGGAGGAGGAGGAGGAGGAGGGGGACAGAGGGAGAGGGAGGGGGAGGAGAAGAGGAGGCGGAGGGAGAAAAGGTCGTCGTCGTCGTCGTCGGCGGCGGCGGCGGCGGTCGCGGCCGCGGCGGCGGCGGCAGCGGTCGCGGCCGCGGCGTCGGCGGCGGCGGGCCTCCCCGCGTCCAGTGCCTCCCTGGTGACGCCGCCGGCCTCCTGCCGCGCCCACCACAGACCCGCCCGCGCGGCGGGGGGGGGGCTCCCCGAGGGGCGGCGACGAAAACGACGACGACGACGACGACGACGACGACGACGACTGCCACTGCGACGACGACGACGACGACGACGACGACGACGACAGCGCCGCCGACGCCGACGCCGACGCCGCGCGGTCACCCCTCATAGCTCTAAGATCGGCAAGCCCGAGGCGATTTCATTCCAGTTAGTTCTGCATGATGAGGTTGTGATGCCCCTCCTCACTCGCGCCCCCCCCCTCCCCCTACTTCATGCCTCCCCCATTGTCCGCGCCTTCTCCGTATTGAGAGCGCATGAATGTTTCCAAATTCTGAATTCTGTTCATATGTAGGATTGAACTGTCCGGCTGGTAGGTTGATTGTTCACCCATGCCCTGAACGGGGCCGAGGCGCCGACAGGCTTGCTCGAGTGGCTCATCCTCCTCCTCCTACTCCTCCTCCTCCTCCTCCTCCTCTTCCTCCTCCTCCTCCTCCTCCTCATCATCATCATCATCATCATCCAGCTCCTCAGAAGCTGAGGAAATTCTCAAGATCGGCACCGAGGTAAGGTCATGCCATATATAGGGGTAGTGACATGCTTCGAGCTGGTATAAGCGTTGTCACTCTGAATTGTCTCATGCTACGGGATTTTGCCATGATCGTGGGTTGTTAAAGGTGTCCCTGACCCAAGGTGCCTGCATTTCGCTCCATCTTGGAACCCCTGGGGCTCTCTGGGCCCCGGGGGGGGGTGATCTGGTGGCCGTGGGCGCCTCCTTGGAAATTCTGGGGGCACCTTAGGCCTGGAGCGTTTCTAGCAACACCCCACCTGTAGCTGGCGCCAGCAACCTCAGAGGACCCACGACGATGCGGTCCAGGGCTCCCGTCGTGACTATTCGATATGTCGCCGTCGCAACGTCGCATCTGAGGGGCCGCCGCAGCCGCCGACAACGGCGGTGACGCCTGCGTCGGCCGCCCTGCTGCGGTGTCGCCGCCCCCGACCAGCCCGCCGACCAACTTCTCCAATTCAGGTGATTCGGGGGGGCGTTTCTGAAGATTCTCGCCACCTTTGGGCCGGACACGACTAAGGGGGCCTGGCCAGGGGCGGATCCCGGGAGGGGTCTGGCGACAGATTTTCTGCGCCGCCAGGCGTCGTCGTCGCCGCCAGGCGAAGTAAAAAGGTCGTCGAGGTCGTCATCCATGGCCTGGAGCTCCGCTGCCTGCGGAGCCTGCCGCAAACATCCCGCACCGCTCCCTTGGCACGCGGCACTTGCGCCTGGGAACGAACGAACGAACTCCGCCATCGCCAGCAAGGGAGGCTGGCGCGCCTGTAGCACGCAGGCCCTCTACGAAGGCAACTGGAAGCGGAATTGGAAAGTGAAAGCCTCACTCAGCGCCACGCGTGCTCTATCAAATATTGCTCGCTCTCCTGCCAAAATATTATCCTCTTCCACTTGCGCCTGGGGCGTCGGGAAAAAACGAGGGCAGCAACAGCGCGCGAAAGGTCTTTCACGATGCGCCTGCTGAAAGACCCGTCCATGCAAACGTCGAGCCGTTGGAAACCCAGGGAGCCCCACGAAATTTCAGCTCCCTCGCGGCTGTACCAAAAATGGGGTGGTTCAGACTGGTTCTGGGGGGAGCAAGGGGCCATCCTGATCCATGGGTGGTCCCACTTGAGCTCGTCCCAGAAGGTACAAGTAATCACTCTCCTCTGCCTCGGTCGGCAAATCCTGAGGTCTCCCGCGAGGTCCCCGCGAGTCTGAGCAGCTCTGGGATGCTCACGCTTCCAGACTCCGTGTCTGACCCTGTCGGGCCTGGAGCAGAACGGGCACTTGCCAGCGCTGCCGCAGCCTGCCGCCCAAGCTCTCGCTCAATATTCCGGACACCTCCGCACAAACTCGTGACGGCCGTGTCCTTTCCCTTGGAGTGAGATTCCTGGAAGAGGGCCCGAGCGACTTGACCAAACGGTCAATGCAGACCCTGGCACCATGAAACGAGGGGTGAGCTCCGACGGGACTCTTCCGACGCTGGTGTTCGACGGGCTGGGGCACGGCACCCCACGTTCTCAGCTGATGCTATGGCCTTTGTCGACCGCAAAGTGAAGATTGCAGGTCTGGTCATGGCCCTGGCTGCTGCTACCCTCCCTTTCCTCGCCATCGCTCGGACGTCCATTTCCCGTGCATGCTTCGGATTCGAGCGTTTATGGCTTCGTCGAGAGACAGTGCACACGTCCGAGCGTTGCCAGGTCTCTTTCCTCGGGTTGAGTTTCGTGGGTCGGAGCGTGCCCTGCCCTCTCCGCCCCACCGCCCTGGCCAAGTGGACCCACACGACCAGGTCGAGATGCACGGTGTGTGAATGGCGCTGACGAGTTGAAGCTTGTGTCGAGGAAACAGCAAGCTCGACTCTGCTGTGGTGGATCGGATCCAGCATTGTGCCGGTATCCCCGAAAGTTATGATGCTGTGTATATAATTGTGTGTTTGCGTTGTCGGTTGTAATCCTCGGTGACCCAGGTCAAGGGCCTCGGCGAGGCCTGCAAACCTCTGACGATGACGGGAATCTGGAGCTGGCGCAAGATCAAACAGGGCAGGCATGCCGATCAAACAAATGACACTTTGGACCTGGACGTGGTCAGCCATCTTTCTGAGATGATGATGACGGTGGCCACTCCCTCTGGGATTATTCAGAAACTAGAGCGCTCTCTCGCTCCAGCCGTGCTGCGCTCAATTTGCAACCATTGTGCCCAGTTGTGGTTGGAAAAGACGGGGGGGTCCCTCTGAGGGGGGAAGGAGGAGGAGGAGGAGGAGGAGGGGAGGAGGAGGCCTCTCGTCTCCACCCGTTTCTCCTCCTTCCCTCCTTCCTCCTCCTCCTCCTCCTCCTCCTCCTCTCCTCCTCCTCCTCCTCCTCCTCCTCCTCCCTCCTCCTCCTCCTCCTCCTCCTCCTCCTCCTCCTCCCCGTCCTCACACAGAGCCGTGTGCAGTGCTAAACCTCCCCGCGCCCCAGCTGCACGGGGCCTTGGCGCGCGCTCTGGAAGTGGCGCCGCCTCTGCGCCCTCGCAGTGGGGGCGCGGCAGCTGCAGGCCTCTGAAGTCTGCCCATGGTGTCCGGATCCGGAGGCGACGCTGACCCACCTCGGGTATAGTGGAGGCCACTCCAAAGCCTTCCACAAGAAACCCAACCCTGAGACCCCAGGACGTCCATTGATGTCTGGCGTGGGAGCGTCACGCTGTCCATCGCGAGACCACCGAGACCCAAGAAACCCAAGGCACCCTGGAGACAAGCAGGGTGTTTCTTGGCATAGGTCTCCACTGTACGACTTGCAAGGCCTCGTCGAGGACGACGCTAACAATAAGGATTTCCCCGCTGACACCCTCGCCCAGCGCCCCAGGATCGACAATGTCCACTACGACCCCGTCGACTTCCTGTACGCGATCCGCATGCAGCTGGACTTGCCAGCCTTTGCCGACGACCAGGAGGTCCACACAGCTGGGGTGCAACGCAGGGCCCGTCCAAAGCAGTGTTCTTCAATTTCGCTTTGTTTTCGTTTTTCCCCGTTGTGCTTCCGATCAGCCTCTGCTGCAAAACGGAGGCGAAACGAAGACGACCCACGAAATCGTCGAACCACCGTTTAGGTCGACCCCTGGTGCAACGGACACGCCTTGGAAGAGGAGAGTATTCTTAGGTCGGGCCTGTCCCCCTACAAGCGGATTTAAAACGAAAAGTGAAAAATACCCGAATAATACCCAAATATGTAAAAATGGTCAAAAGAATCGTCCCCTGACTATTGTTTGACTATTTTTGAATCGTCCCCCTGTAGAGGGACAGGCCCGACTTGAGAGTCTTCGCCGGCGGCGGCGCGAGCCCGTCCGACTTGGAGGAGAGTCGCAGGGCGGGCCGGGCCGCAGCGGAACCCTCGCGGAACGGCGGGCGGCCCCTCCGGCGCGGCGCCGGGCCCGAACCACTCCGTGCCGTGCGCCGCCGCCCGCGCGTCGCCGAGGCCCCCGCCATCGCGGCCGCGGGCCACGGGCCCCGCCGTCACGGAGGCGAGGGCGCGGGCGCCCCCTCCGCGCGGCGCCCCGGGAGCGCCACGCGGGGATGCGAAGGAGGGCCCTCTTCACGGAGGCGAGGGCGCGGGGGCCCCCCCCGCGCGGCGCCCAGGTATGACCCACGCGGGGACTCGACGGAAAATCAGCTGGCCGTGGTACAGCAAGGAGGGGCTGGACCACAAGAGACCTTCCACAAGAAGCCCAACCCTGGACCCCAGGACGCCCTTTGATTCTTGGAGTGGGAACGTCGCGCCTTCCACAGCAAAGCTATCGAAGCCGAAGAGACCCAGAGCACCCTGGAGGCAAGCAGGGTGTTTCTTGGCATGGGCCTCCACTGTAGGGGGCAAGAGCCGACTGGGGTCCACTGGCAGCCGTCCCACCTGACGCTGGAGGCGGCAGCCAGCAAAAACTGCGGCCTTTCCAAAATCGGCTGCGCCCGCACGCAGACGGGCACATCCGCCGCCAGCCGCGGTGGACTCCCACGAGTTTTGGCGCCTGGACAGCCAAAGCGGGTGGCGTTGTTTTCTCTTTGTGTTCGTTGCGCGTCGTTTTGTCTTCGCTCCGCCTTCGCTGCAAAACGAAGCCAAAACGAAAACGGTCCACGAAATCGCCAAAACACCGTGCAGGTCGAGCCACAAAGGGAGCTCCAGAGCTTACCGAACAACAATTGTTCAGCGCTGGTTGGCCCAACGCCTCTCGGGGATTTTCTGACCCGGGTCAATCCTGACCCGGGTCAGCCAGGCCTTGCAGGACCCTCCAGGATCCTGCAAGATCCTGCGCCCAATCCCGGGTCAATGCGACCCTGGCCCTCCAGGATCCTGCAAGATCAGGCGCTTTGACTGACCCTCGTTTGCGTTGACCCCTGTCCCTTGAGCCCCGAACCGCTTCGACGCGCGTCCACACTGACCGCCGGTGACACCACCCGCCACCGCCGCCGTCGCCATGACCACGGAGCTCTCCAGCCAAAGAGGACCCGCGAGCAAGGGCACTCTGGTCGGGATCTCGAGGGCGGGAGGCGTGGCGGAGGTGGATGGCGGGGGTGGGGCCTTGGACCATTTTTCCGCCCGCTCGCTCGGACGTTGTCCTTCTGCAGAAAAGGCCGATAGCAGCGTGCCGCAAAGTGTGCGCAGTACGCGGCCGGATCCAGTCGCATGGATCTCTCAACGCCGGGAGCGCTGCTCTCCCTCCCCCCCGAGGAGAGGACGGGGGGGGCCTTTACAATTCCGGAGCCAGTATGATGGCAACCCAGATCCCCACTTTTGTGGGGTTCGGGACTGGACTGGACAAAAAAGCCCAACTGGAGGGCTGGAGGGTATGCGATACGTCGGGGGGGGGGCGTCCGAATAGACCCCATGGGATGTATCCCTGAGCTTCCCTCCTGCCCTGAGCGGCCTGATACTTGCTGGGAGAAGCCCGGGGAGTGGGGGCGAGAAATCGCGAACTGGTCCTGGACCCCGGGGCCCTCCCTTGGGACCAGCGTTTCACCCTGAATTGTTTCTGAACGTCCAGGTGCCCGCGCAGGGCTCGAGGATCCGAAAAACTAGACAAAGGGCGCTTGTACATACCAGTGCTCGCCTAGGACTCTAGAAAAACGACCAGAAAGCTGAACCCCCTCTGGCCTGCGTGTCGCAGCCCCCGCCCCAGACCGCAAGGGAAACAAGCCTCTGATAGCCGCTCCTGGCAGCCTTCGCGAACCGGCGCGTGCAAGGCTGCGACGCTAACTACAATGCAGAAGGAAAGAGGAGGAGGAGGAGGAGGAGGAGGAGGAGGAGGAGGAGGAGGAGGAGGAGGAGGAGGAGGAGGGAGGAGGAGGAGGAGGAGGAGGAGGAGGAGGAGGAGGAGGAGGAGGAGGAGGAGGATTTTTGACATCCAAGCTCGCTGACCCCCTCACAGGGGGCTGCTTCCTGCCTGGCAGCTGGGACAGGCGCAGCGGCAGAGAGGTCGGGCGGACCGTGCAACGGCGACACCCGAACAAAGTGCATCGGGAGAAAGCAGGACGAGCTCCCGAAGGACCGCCGAGGGTGCCGGGTAGGAGCCCTGTGTGAAGGGGGCGCCGCAGCAGAGACCCTCAGGAACGCCTGAGTAGCAAGGGTCAGGAAGTTCAGGAGGAGGAGGAGGAGGAGGAGGAGGAGGAGGAGGAGGAGGAGAGAGGAGGAGGGAAGGAGGAGGGAAGGAGGGAGGGAGGGAGGGAGCGAGGAGAGGGAGGCAGGGAGGGAGGTCAACCACCCGCATCCTTGCCGTCTCTAAGGGAGAGGCTTCGGTGGTCTGCCCTGTTTAGAGGGTGGAATGGCCTGGCGGATGTCCCGCGTGGGTGTCCCAGGTGACGCTGCATACTTCCTGGACTGTTTTTGCAGCCTCATCGCTCCACGGTGACTTTGCTTCCGAGACCAACGGAGACCAACGAGAGGAGGAGGAGGAGGAGGAGGAGGAGGAGGAGGAGGAGGAGGAGGAGGAGAAGGAAGAGGAGGAGGAGGAGGAGCAGGAGGAACAGGAGGAGGAACAGGAGGAGGAACAGGAGGAGGGAGAACAGAGGGAGGGAGGGAGGGAGGAGGGAGTGCGAAGGGAGGGAGGGAGGTAGGGATTCATTACCTAAAAGGATTAGGAGGGGAAGGAGGAGGGAGAGGGAGGGAGGGAGGGGCGGAGGGGAGGGAGGGAGGGAGGGGGAGGGAGGGAGGGAGGGAGGGAGGAGGAGGGAGGGAGGAGAGGGAGGGAGGGAGGGAGGGAGGGAGGGAGGGGAAGAGAGGAGAGGGAGGGAGGGAGGGGGAAAGGAGGGGGAGGGGGAGGGAGGAAAGGAGGGAGGGAGGGAGGGAGGGGAGGGAGGGAGGGAGGGAGGGGAGGAGGATAACGCACTGCCTTGGCGGTCACCGCACAGGTCAAACTAGCGCTGCGTGAGCGCATCAGACTGGGGCCAAGGATGCCCCTCATGCCAACAGAAAACGTCCCCGCACACACCCAGGGGATCACGGAGCGGGCACACGGGCACGGCCCAAAAGCAGGCGTGGCGAGAAAGCGCGAGGAGGGGGAGGAGGAGGAGGAGGAGGAGGAGGAGGAGGAGGAGGAGGAGGAGGAGGAGGACAAGCTAGGTGCGCTCGCGTCATATCTGACATCCTACCCCTCCCTCCCATCCCTTACCATGGCGTAGATCCCCTCTCTACTCGCACAGTCGGATGTCGAGCAGGGCAATGATCCCGAAAGGGTACGCGATGCATTGTAGACCACGGCGTGGCATGGCGTAGAAGAGCACCGCAAAGCGTAGTATGTCACAGCACGGCGTGGCGTGGCGTAGTGAAGAATTGCCTCACACAGCTTTGCAGCGCAAAGCATGGCATCGCACAGAGGCCTCGAAGGTAACATTGCATAGCATGGCGTTGAAGATCAAAGCGTAGCATGGCATAGCACGACGTGGCCCTGAAGCACTGCATATCACAGCTTCAGCTGCAAGCATGGCATCGCGCAGCCGAACACAACCGAGCATTGCATTGCATGCCGTGGCATGGCACGGCAAATGACGCCAGCGCTGCAGCGGGAGCACGATTCGGAACGAGCGGAAGCGCGGAAATGAGGCCAGCGCTGCAGCGGGAGCACGATTCGGAACGAGCGAGGCCCGAAAATGAGGCCGGCGCCTCAGCGAGAGCAGCATTTTGAAAAAACAATGCAGGCGAAAACCCAACTCCGGGGAATCCTGTGTAAAAAACAATACGCGGGGGGGGCGAACACTCCCAACCCGTCATCAGGGGAATCAGGAGAGTAGTATTCATATTGAGTAATTGTGGAGGACGGGGAGGCGGAGGAGGGAGTAGGGAGGAGGGAGCAGGGAGGAGGGAGGAGGGAGGAGGGAGAAGGAGGAGGAGGGAGGAGGGAGGAGGGAGGAGGGAGGAGGGAGGGGAGGAGGAGGAGGAGGGAGGAGGGAGGGAGAGGAGGAGGAGGAGGAGGAGGAGGAGGAGAGGAGGAGGAGGAGGAGGAGAG